AAATATAAATTTATTATATTTTTATCACGTATCTAATGTACAAAATAGAAAAGTCTTATTAAGTAATACTTTCTTTATTAATGGTTTGGTGCCAAAGGCCTATAGTAAGTCCTTTATTCGTCTGCTTTGTTCTCACTGCTCCGACCTCCGAGCATAAATATAGCTCCACCTCGTCTCTCAAGCAAACATCCAATCCTTCTATTCCACCCCTTGCTCGCTTCTCTATTGATTATTGAATCTTTCTCCCTTTCTCTCAAAATCAAAAGTATGGGTGGTGATTGGCATGCTTCTTCAAGTTCAAGCAGCCCTGGAACCATTCTGCCGATTGCGGTAGTTCCGATTGACTTTGAAGAGGAAGTTGTGGCACCCATTATTTCATCCTATAATTACCATATACGCCCTTTGCTCGACGCTATTGACAGGCTCAGGCTGCTCCAGGTCATGAAAGAAGGCATACAGCTGCCCACCATTGTCGTTGTTGGTGACCAGTCCTCCGGAAAGTCCAGCGTTCTCGAATCACTTGCCGGCATCCACCTTCCTCGTGGCCAGGGAATCTGCACCAGAGTTCCCCTGATTATGCGGCTCCAGAATCAAGACACTACTGAACCAGAGCTTTTCTTGGAGTACAGTGGAAAAACGGTTCCCGTGGAAGAAGACCACATTGCTGACGCCATTAGTCTTGCCACCGACGAGATTGCCGGCAGCGGTAAGGGTATTTCCAACACTCCCCTGACTTTGGTGGTGAAGAAAAACGGTGTTCCGGATCTTACGATGGTGGATCTACCCGGAATCACCCGAGTCCCTGTTCACGGCCAGCCGGCGAACATTTACGAGCAGGTAACTGAGATGATTATGGAGTATATAAAGCCGGAGGAGAGCATAATCCTGAATGTTCTCTCAGCAACCGTTGATTTTTCTACCTGTGAATCCATTAGGATGTCGCAGCAGGTGGACAGGAGAGGCCAAAGGACTCTGGCCGTCGTGACAAAGGCAGATAAGTCACCGGAAGGGCTACTTGAGAAGGTCAGTTCCAATGATGTCAATATTGGGCTTGGTTATGTCTGTGTGAGAAACAGGGTCGGTGATGAATCTTTTGAAGAAGCGAGGAAGGAAGAAGAAAAATTGTTCGAAACCCACCCTCTGCTTTCGAAGATGGATAAATCCATCGTTGGAATTCCAGTTCTGGCGGAAATGCTAGTTCAAGTTCAGGCGAACATCATTTCTAAATGCCTGCCCAAGATTGTGAGGAACATCGATGAAAAGCTGAGTGCAAACGTGAAGAAGCTGGAGAAGATGCCGAAGATTCTGTCCACCCACGCGGAAGCCATGTCTGCTTTCGTGCAGATCATCGGATCGGCGAAAGAATCTCTGAGGAAAATTCTGTTGAGCGGGGAATCGGACGAATACCCAGATGACAAGAAAATGCATGGAAGTGCCCGATTGGTGGAAATGTTCGACAAATTCTCCAACGAGCTTCGCAAGTGCGTTGAAAATGAACGAACAGGTGACTTTTTGATTGAAGAAATTAATGTTCTCGAGGAAGCAAAGGGGATTGAATTGCCCAATTTCCTCTCTCACTCAGCATTCCTCCGCATTCACCAGGGGAAAATCGACAGGATTAAAAGCATGCCTATTGACTGCGTTGAACAAACATGGGAGTACATTGAAAGCGTTGTGATTGCTATTTTGACGCGTCTTTCGGAAAACTATCCACAACTTAAGCATGCAACAACAAGAGCAGCTAAAAGCTCGATATCTAAAATGAAAGAACAGTCAATGAATCGGGTTTTGGAGATTTTGCAAATGGAGAGGCTGACAGATTATACATGTGACCCTGATTACATGTCTGAATGGGGCAAGCTCTTGTCCCAACAGCAGAAGTTCATGGGAGATCTTAAATTTTATCATATTAATTCGACAACCATTGAAGGTTGGGGAACAATTCAGATCGGGCATCTAAGGGAGAATTCAGAGACTATTCTTCAGCTAGCTTTTGACTTGAAAGCGAGGATGAAAGCATATTGGAACATAGTTCTGAGGAGGATGGTGGACACCATGGCACTCCTTTTGAAATTTAACGTATACAATCTGGTGACAAAGGAGATGGACGAGATTTTCATGGAGCTGATGGCTGTGGATGGTGGAAAATCTATTGAGCGGATTCTGGAGGAGTCGCCCGGAGTTGCTGGGAAAAGAGAGACGCTGAAGAGTAGTATTGGTTTGTTGAGGGAGTCCAAGGAGATTGTGGCTCAAATCACGGACAGAATTGCTTCCTATGGTCACTAAGGTAATTTAATTAGTCTGGGGCATCAAATGGTTTGTTTTATTTTTGTTAATTTTATACTGTCGGTGTGCTATATACGGTTTTTTTTTTTTTTAATCAGCCTGTGTGCTATATATGTAATGTAACGAAATATTAAGATGCCCTCAACTGTGGTTTTATTTCCTTCCTCAAAGTAATGTATTGTTTTTTCCTGCCTTGCACCAAAAAAGAAATATATATGATAAACTCTAATGCACTATATTGCAATGTTCATAGCCCAAAGCTTCAGTATTTTCTATGCATAAATGATTTGAAGCATGTGTATTATTATTTTTTTTCGCATCGAAAAGTTAATTATATAATAGTACATAGGTTTAGACCTTTGACATTTTCCTTAAATTAAAGTTTTTAAATTAATAAATATCAATTTAATCAAGTTCTTGTTAGTGAAATATGTGTATGATGTATATTGATGATTAACATTTGAGAAGCATTATTTTTTGCATTTGAGAATGAAAGATTTGAATTTTGGGATAGTTGCTATATATTTCAACACATTTTATAGTTTCTGACATGACCGAAGAGTGAAAATTTTAAGAATAGAATGTTTTAAACAGAAACTAGAACTCCACACAGACACATTTTCTTAGTCATAAAAAAAAAAAACAAGACACAACATACTTTGAGGAAGCATCTTCCTCAATGACACGCAAAGACACAAACTTGATTGATATGAAACCAGACAAACAACTCGACCATTGCAGTCAGCTGGAGATTTCAATGGACTTAACCTCTGGCTTCTTAACCTCCTCCTTTGGGACAGTCACGGTGAGCACACCGTTCTCCATGCTAGCCTTCACCTGATCCATTTTGGCATTCTCCGGCAACCTAAACCTCCTCAGGAACTTGCCGCTGCTCCTCTCAACACGGTGCCACTTTTCATTCTTCTCCTCTTGGTCCCTGCTCCTCTCTCCACTGATCTGGAGAATCCTTCCCTCTTCAACCTCCACTTTTACCTCCTCCTTTTTCAGCCCTGGAAGGTCCGCGTTGAAGATGTGAGCTTCAGGCGTTTCCTTCCAGTCAATCCTCGCATTAACAAATTCAGAGGTTTCACGGACTGAAGAGGGCACATTGGCTACAGTAGAGGTGAAAAAGCCATCAAATGGATCCCACGCGTCTAGAGAAAATGGATCGAAGACATTGGTTCGTCGACCACCAAAGATGTTTGGAATCAGAGACATCGTTGGCAAATTGGAATGATTTTCTGAAATCAACAACAGATTAAGAATTGCTTGATTTCTCGATGAAGGAAATTGGATGGTAATGAAATGCTATTTATAAAAAAGGAAGAGCCTTCTAGAGGTGAGACTGTGAGAGGTTTCTGGCACCTTCATGGGCATTCTTTTCATCATGCACCTAACTTTAGATATATAATAATTATAATTGACTAAAACACTTCATGAATAATATTTTTATTCTTCCATCATCTTCTACATTCTTCATCGCCATTTCTGTTGATTGTAGGTGAAATCCAAGGAAATTATTGTATTGGGTTCCTCTGATTTCAATGTCGGTACGTGTCGAAATGGGTCCAATATCCAACCCATTAGGCTTCCATACATTTTACAAGCTGCCCATTTTCTAGGTATGGTTTTGGGTTAGATATCTCAAAATTGGGCCTCAATCTGCCTCTTTCTCAGGTTCGGTATCTAATAGTACAGGTTAAAATGGGTTGAAATACATTTCCACCCCGCCTATCTCGCCCCCCCCAACCCACCACTAATTGGGCCCCAATCCATGGAATTGAGCTGCCTCTTTTTAGACTTGGGTTATGGTCACATGGGTCAGGCCCATATGCCAAAAATCAGACCTTATTCCACTCGAAATGCACTGCAAGTCCATATACCAAGTTCCCAACTTGTTCTTGTTCCCTCGTTGGGAAATTTTTTTTTTTTTCAGTATTCATGGTCAGGTCCTCAAGTTGATTTTTGCATACGTCAAAATTTTTTTTTGTTTTTTAAAAATACACCGTTATATTGATATAATATATTCAAAAAAAATTAATTTTTTTAAATATTAGTGTCAAGATTTAAACCCTAAATCTAATTTACAAAATAATACTCATTTATCATTAAATACAATATTTTGGGTTCCATTGATAATTTCCTTGTTGGATTGTTGCCCTTTTCTCCACTAACAAAAGATAAAGTTTTCCTACTTTCTCTAAAAGGAAAAAATGATCTTTGAAAATTCAAGAACTATTCCGAAGAAGAAAAAGAAAGGAAAAAGAGCTTCAACTGATTTAAGAGGTTTAATCGTTCACGGAACAAACTCCTCTTACAAAATTTGGAATCCAATTGATTGCTACTTGCAAGATTCCTCCATGATCTTGAGTATAAGCCATGCGGTACTTGAAAATAACTTGAAACTACTTTTATAAAAGTGGGATTTAGTATTTTAAGCAAAGGCTGAAACTTAATTAAGACCTTAAATCTCTTGCTTAAGGTACATTATTAACCAATTAAACAACAAAGTGTAACCCCAATATCTTTCCCAACTTGCTCTAAATTATAGATTGATCAATCAATCAATGAAACTGAAAATAATTTGTGCAAGGAAATTAAAGCTTATTTTAAAGAACTCTCAATCTCATGTCAAAAATCAATTCATCTAAAATTTAATAATATCTAATATATAGGCGGAATCTAACTTTCTCTGCGGCATATAGGATGGAATTGCATAAAATTAAGGAAGGAACAAAAATGAATACCATATGGTCTGGTGCAAGAAGCAGCAGTCTTTTGTGAACCAGTAGTTCTGGAATTTTTATCTGGTTCTTGGACAATGGAGAGATCATATGCACAATATTCCATTAACAAAATTGAATTGGAACTTCGACTGTTTGAGTCCTTGAGGTTGGCATTGCCGATTACTAATTGATGTGATTTTGGAATTTGACAAAGATGGAGTAGCTTAGAATCCGTGGCTTCCCAAGTTAGAAAGCTACAATAATTAATTTGAAAATAT